AATCAAAATATTTTAAAATTTTAAAATCTTACATATTAGGAAAATAACCTAAATAACAATTTAGTCCAACGTGAAAGCAATATTTAAAAGGTAAAATGGCGAACGACATATATCCAAACAATAAGTTCTTACTTATTCTTTGTTGACTTTGTTGTTTTTGGTTTTCTTGTTCGTCATTCTATTCAAATTCATTTATCTCATTTAAACTGATGATATAATAATTTTGATTGAATTTTTTAACCAAAGCAGAATATCTTAATATTCTCGGTCATTATTTGATTCAAAGAAAAACTATTACAACGACTGCAACTTAGTTCGGTGATATTCAATATTCACAATTTTATTAGATCTTGATAATTAAGGATTTGAATTTAAAATTTTGTTTTTCTTCTTTGGTATGAGTTTGAATAAAGATTTATTTTACGCAATATTAACAAGAAACAAATTTATATAATTTAAAATTCTATTCCATTTTTAAATCCTAAGTATTAGAACTTCCTCCAAATAATTCAAATAATTAAAGATTAATAGCAAAAATTTTGCTAATTCTGAAGTTTTAATATTAAAAATATAATTAAATGATAATAATTATTATCTAACATAAAATATAATTTACGTGTTATCCATCATTAATGATTAAATATTTTATATTTAGAAATTACAAATTTATAAGTTAGATAAAACTTGTAAACATGATCCAAAAAAGTAATCAACAAAAAAATAGATTTCAAATATATGAATGATCCGTACGTGTTCAATCCTACAATTAAAATGAAGACAAAAAATTGCAAAATTCGTTACAATTCCAAACGCATTTAAAACTAGTAAACATGAAAGGATCAATTTGAAGAAAATAGCTACACCATTTAAATAAGGAAAAAAAATATTTATAAGTAAAATTTTACTCAATTTAGATTCCTAAATATTATGAGTTTCTATATAGCTTAAATTAAGAATGATTTAATAAATAAATTTGCTTACTTTAAAGTTCAAAATATTAGGTAAATGATTAAACTATAATGACAATTTTGTCCAATATAAAGTCTATTTTTAAAGGGTAAAAAAGGCGAACGACATTTCGTTAAGGACCTTCGTGCTTTTAATATAGTATAGATATAGATATAGATAGATAAATATAGATTAATATCCCAAAAGAAATGACTAGTATGAGAAATAAAACCATACGTTTTCACTTGTTTTAACTAGGGAAAGATTAAGATGGTAAAAGGTCTTGAAGAATCAGCAAATTATATATCAAGCAGAAATATAGAACTATCAAAAAGTACATCCTTTCATCGTAACTATCATTTGTATTCATATGCCTAATCATGACATAAGGGAAAAGGATAAAAGGAAATGGGAATTTTCCCCAAAATGTGCACTTTTGGCTCAACAATTCCAGTGGTGTATTGTTTTTGAGAGAATACCATAAATATGTAGTAGAATGCTATTTAAGGACAAAGCATAGTTTGAAAGAACAAATGGGAGTGCTTATTAACCGAATGATATTTATAAGGTGCATCTGCCAAATGCAATACATAAGTCACATTTGACAGATGCCAATTTTACCATTGGACAAAATTGGATTAAGTGAGTGCTACTTATAAAACGAATTTGACAATTGCGACTTATGGCTTGCATTATCTTCCGTCTATTCTTTCCTTTATGGTTTGTTTTTAACTTGCATTCTGCAAATGCGTTTTGCATTTTTTTGGTATTCCCTTAAGACAACAAGAATGGTTGAGCCAAAACGTGTACATTTTGGGAAAAATTCAAAGGAATGAGGGTAGGTCGCTGCATATCATGTAGTGGATGAGTACCTGGCGCAAAACAAAGGAGACAGACAGGACAAAGCTGGATCATTAATAAGGTTATGAGATCTTCCCACTTTAACCAATTCCCACCTGAAAATCAATGTCGTTTGGGAGACAAGGGGTTGGTGGATGTATCATTAATCAATATGCTTTTCTATTTCTTGGAATTTTGGAAGAACACATCGAATATGAGTTTACAGGTTGGTGCCTCAAATTCATACGGACATTATCCTCCTAACCATACACAAGTCATACTGGCAATTTGCAAAGATATACGAAATTGCTAATTTGTCCTTACTTTGAAAGGCATGTAATTATTCGAATCCTAAAAGTCTTATTCCCTTGCTAAAAAAGCTAAGACGCCTTTTTAATTAAGCCATGTTAAAATAAAAACATATTGAGTTGAATATAAAAAGGAACTAAGCTATGTTGAGGCTGCTATTTGGTTACATTGATAATATGAGTATTACTCCATGATTTGGTTTATAGACAAGTGAATTGATTTGATCCCAAAATGACAAATAAATTAGATAAAAATGTAAGACTAAGCCTTGAAGATGAGATAAAACAGCAAAAATCTTGACTCCGGGAGCAGAGCTTCCGGAGACAATAATAACAATATAAATAAGCAAGAAGATAAAATTGTATTGAGCTTTGAATAGAGTATATTATATGTTTATCAGGAAATTCATGTCCTTTACAATGATTATAGAGCTCATTATTTATAGTTGCACATAGGGAACAAGGTCATAAGATCAAGACCCTCTTTAATGACAATTATGAGGGCCATTGAAGAATGTGTAACGGTAGGCAGTGAATGCCATATTCTCTGTAAGGACCATATACTTAATGCTGTAGAATATTCTCCACTTAATGTTATCGGGTGACAGACATTTATTTCGCCTTTATGAATATTATTCTCTCCGATAACAAACGAGATCGTTGACTCCGAACCCGACTGTCTTCTGTCTTCGACTCCACATGTCGCTTTCTCATGCGATAATTTGATATAAACATATTTTACCCTATACATATAGTCCCTCTGTTTTCCCGTGGCAAAATTTGTGTGAATGGGAAGTTGGTAGAGATACCTTTTTTGGCGGAAAATTCTCTGCCCCCTTCTGAAAAGTATCTGACGGTTGATTAGACGCACGTCTCTCCGCATTTAATGCCCCGAACATGCATCATCCTAGGATTCAACACCACTTTTGCTGGTTATCGAGGTAATTATAGCCACGATTTTAGCTGCCTATTCCTTTACTTATGCACATCAAACTTCTCCA